TCAAAATTGTATAAAGAAATATATAAACATTTTGCATTTAAGATAAAACATGTTCTCGTCTGTCAATATGCTCCATCTAGACCTCTTCAAGTGGAAAAGTTTTAGTGTCACCTGGTTTAATTTTGTAAAAACTCTTCTGTAAGGAACCTTTGGCTATCCCATTATTAATCGAAAAAATTAACCGACAGATAAATCGAATTTGCAAAATAATAGTTAGTTGCCGCCCAAACCAGCACCCTACAAAAAGAGCACATACCAACTGTGAAACATGGAGGTGGAAGTTTCATGGTTTAGGGATGACATGCTGTTGACCAAAAACACAGCAGTAATCTGAAAAGACGCAGGTCGAGTCAAAGCCCAGATCTCAATCTGGTTGAGATACTAAGGTAACTTGATACCAAACACCTCTCTGCTCAGCGAGGGACAAACAAACAGCAGGTTGATTTAAGCCAAGGAAATCAGATTAAACCTGGAACCCCACCAGTGTCTTCACAGACTCCTCAGGAGAGCTTAAAACTGCAAATGAGCCAACAACACCTCTTGGCTTTTCTCACCTGCAGCAGCTCTGGTTTTTGCCGCCGCTATCATTAGCGCCCTCTCCACACCTGCAACGCAACAAGCTCGGGCATGTTTTCTGAGGGTGTTAGGATTATTTTGTATAATTCATGCATGCGCTTGTTAAACCCTAATAATACCTGCCTGTTACGTGTTAAGGTTTATGTTTTCCCAAGCAGTTTACCTAATTAGGACGGTTCTTCTGTTAGGATAAAAAGTCATCCTCATTAAGTACGTGTAGGTGGGAGCAATCTGGGATAAAATAAAAAGCTTTTCTTATTTAACAGAGTCTAAAAACTATATTTCTGTCATCACGAAATGACTGAGATGATTTTTCTTTAAGGCCACCTATAATGAACCAGGCATGGTGTGGATTATAGCTGCAGTCAGCTCTGCTGTTCGACTTAAGCATCCAAATGTTCCTGTCACAGCCCAACGGCTACAGCAGCTATTAACTGCTGAGACGAAGGACAGAGACTCGGCTATATATGTAGAGCCTGTGAGAACTGCATTAAAAACCTCCTGTCACTTCTCACTACACATGTAGCTGCAAGTCAGATGAGAAAAGACAAGTATGACGAATACGAGGAGGGGGGATACAATCTCAGAGACGGTGGGAAGGGATTGTCAAACTCACGTCTGGGTTACAAGTACCTTCTTTGTCATTAAGGGGAAGTGCGCTCGCTTGCTTTGTCTCCAATTAGATTTTCTGAAGAGCACAAAGACATGTTTAAGAGGGGGGTTTAAAATAATGACCCTTCATCATGCAGGGAAGGCCAGAGGCAGAAGCAGATAATGTTCAAAGCAAGCGCTGTAAAGTGCAAAGTCATAACAACAGATGCTGTTGAAGATGGCGGGAAAACGATGCCGTGGGGTTCTGGTGGAGCGAGAGGCAACATGAGTAAAGAGGAGGAGGGAAGCTGGATAACAGGTGCTGAAATGACAACGGCAGAAAAAGAACACGCACACAGAGCAATGATCAACTTTTAATGCGTTTTTCCCCCTTTTTAACCTGAATAAAAGCAGCACAAAAAAAACACGTCTGGGAAAAGGTTTTAAAGAATTGCTTGTGAACAAAGTTTCGTAGAGCTGTTAAAGAAATCGATATTTTCCATGAATAAACTCCACTTCCTCTCTGTGAAAAACCCGAGTCAAGAACTGCTGTGGGGAGCTCTGTGGGCCTCTGGTGATGAAGAGTGTCTGACTCATCCTACATCGTCCCAGACAGTACATTCTTTCCATTGTGCTGCAGTCCTGCTGCCACATTGCAGTTACCCCACTGGCAACAGCAGGTCAGTCTGTTAAAAGACTCATCAACCTCTCTGTATCCAACAGAACGGCACATAAAGGTCAGACGGCTTATTACAGACTGCAGCAGTTGATGAACTATCATCATCATCAGCAGCCCTGATGAACACGCCTCCATCCCAGAATTATACACTTGTTGAAATTCAGTTCAGTCTCCTTAATGCATTTTAATACATTTGCTGATTTGCAGTAGATGAAAAAGGCGTCTTTTTTTTTTTTTTTTTAAACTAATAATAATTTCTGGTTTTATTAGGTAAAAAGAGTCAGACCAAATAAAGTTGTGTGAAAACTCTCCTTAGCAAAAGTGTAAAACTATTTTATAACAAACTATTGTAAAAAAATAAAAATAAAAAAAATAAAAAAATAACACCTAAAAAAAGTACAGAAGCCTTCTTATCTAGCAAAGTACTTCAGCTGCTTCTGTTCAACCATGGTCGCCATGGGACACCCAGACGTCCCTTCTCCTTTAAACAAACCTTCCAGCCCAGATAAACCTCTAAAGAACCTTTTTTTTTCCTTTTTAGAGCTTTGATTGTTTAAAAACTAGGACTGATTGGTTATTGCTAAAAAACGGCAAAAAAAAAAAAAAAAAAAAAATTTAAACAATTCTCCCAGAATGTGCCTTAGAAACCGCCTTAGCAACCGAATACTTTGCTGCAGCCATTAACCCAGTGTCATCACACTGGGTTAATGGCTCTCAGATTTGGGTCTTTTTCTATCCATTTGCACAATTCTTTACCTAATATAAACAGTAATTCTGTTAAGAAAATTTGTTTTGATTTTTTCATGTTAAACATGTTTTATGCCTTTTAATTATTTGCTATTTTTTTATCACCATCGTATCAGATATTGAATATTTACTGGGTATTGAAGTTTGAAATTCTAGCATTGTTAACTTCAAGAAGGACCTGCTGACTGTATTCTGTTTGTCATCCTTTGGAATATGCTCATTTGTAGGGCTGGGTAAAAAAAATCAATTTAATCGATTTTGAATCGATTCCTTTACATTTTCGCAAAATTGATGTCTAGGGAATGAGATCGATTCATTTTATAGTGACGCGCATGACGTTCACATTCAAATGAGCAGGAAAGATGCTCTCAAAATACTTTAAGCCAGACAGCTACAAATATAGCCAATAGCTTGACTAAATACATTAACAAATGGGGGCTGACCAGAAAACACCCTGTAGTTGTTACAGACAACGCTAAAAAATATGGTTTGTACAGTGGAGATAATGCAGCTCACACACGTCTGCTTTGTCACGTCTGCTTGCTCGAGTGAGGCTTCACTTTTTCACTTTTCACAAACAAGTTTGCAGTTTTGAAACAGTTTTGTTCACATCTCATGTTTTAACTCTCATGTTTAAACTGTCACATTAAACACAAAGTTTGCACTTTGTGTTTAATGTGACAGGAAAAAAACTAAATACATGAGTATTTTTCAAACAGAGCTGAACCACTTTCATTGTTGTAAAAACAAATCGAATCAAAATTAACCAATTTAGAACTGCATGAATCAAAATCGAATCGATTCAGGACTTTGATGAAAATACCCAGCCCTACTCATTTGATGAAGTATTTTCATCGCCTTCGCTTTCCGTTTCAGTGTGTATAGCCGCCATTTTGGCTGTCCAATCTCGCAGATTTAAATCACCCTTCCAGGTTTTGTATGGATAAAACAGAGAACCGGCAGAAGAGCGTTTTTCTTTTAAAAAAACTGCTTTGCTTTTGTCATTAGTATCTGAATATCACTCTTGTATTGATCGTAATTAACGACAGAAGAGCTTTTTCAATTAAAGGTTTCATCCCATCTAAAAGCTCCTCACCTCATCTACAAGGACGAGTCCATCAACGTCTGATGCTCATTTCAGTCCTTCAGGATCTAGTTTGATTCAAGGCCATGGGGAGTATCAGAACCAGTTCGAACCAGTTTAACTTTTTTCCGCCGTAAGCTGCAGGAACATCTGTTACCATGGACGAGAGCAAAACAAATGCGTACCTAAAGTAACCCACTTTTAAAAAAAAGTACCTTTAACAAATAAACAAACAGGCTAAACACGGCAGTGAAATCTTTGTTTGCGTTATAAGACCTGAAGGAGGCGGCTGATGTAAACCCGCCACTCTTAAACCTCCCTACCGCCATGGAGAAATGCACAACCGAGAAGCAAAGATGTGGTGGACCAGAGGAGACCTTTATAAAGACGTCAACATGTGGAACTTCTACCTCAATATGAAATTAGCTTATTTAAGTGTTAAATTTATGATCTTCGCTTTTCTCCGCTGCAGCGATGACAGGTTCAAATATGGTCATGTGTCGTGAAGACAGTAGAAAACCAGGGTCTGTTTCCTTTAGAAGGCCACAGCAAAAATCCTTCCTTCTGAATGAAAAACTAATTTCCTGTAAAGACCGACAGGCTGTTTTACTGCACATTAAAAAAAGCCAGCGAGCTGGATTTAGTGTTTCTTCCATCTATTCTGTTTACAGATTTCAGAGGTAAAACCACTTCAGGAACAGACCTGAATAAACCAGAGACTGCAAATGTAATGGGGGATATAGATGGGAGCAACTCGAGGATCAACAGAAGGCGAAGACCTCAAGGAATTAATAAAAAAAAAACTAAAAAAAAAAAAAGAGCAAGAGGGCTCCAAGTTTATAGGAGGGAAGGAGCCGTGTTGCAATGAGAAGACTATTTAGTAAATAATGGTAAACAAACCAGATCTATGCAGCTGTGCTATGCTGAATGGCCCATGTAAGGTTTGTGTGTTCCTATTAAACCACAGAAGGTCTAAATAGTGACACAGCACCTGCAATAAGATGAGAGGAGACGAGCGCAAGGAATGAAAGGACACCCCAAGAAAAAACAAAAACCTATCTCCCAAAATGGTTGATTATAAAACAAGCTGGCAGAGTTTAAGCAGCAATTTATGACTTTACTTCTCCACATCAAAAGAAGGAACAAGCCATATTCTACAGGTCTGAACAAAGAACCAAGAATTAAGTCCAACAGGATCTAAAGGTTAAAAAAATAATAAAAAAGAGTTGATGATTTTATTTATGGACCGCTCAGAAGGAAAACATTAGAGCTGATTAAAGCGGAGCAGCTGAACTAGGAAGAGTAAAGTCAAAGCAAGCTAACCTTTGGCAGCATGGGTGTAGCCCTCTTGCTCTTCTTCTCAGAGGGATCATCCAGCATGTCCGGCTCAAACGTGTAGAGCTCAGCTAGCTCGTTCATGGTGAAGTGTCTCTCGATCTGCTGCTGATCCACAACTCGGTAGGACAGAGACTGCTTGGTAACCTGCCGCTCGTAAATCTTCTCCTCCATTGTACCCTGATGGCGAAGGATAAAACGGGGGAAATCAAACGCATTACTTTTGACGTTTTGAAAATATTCTTTTTTGCTAAACTGAGTCGTTCATTATCTAAATTTCCTACTTAAGAAAACAACAACAAAAAACTGGACATAACAGCGAAAAAGATTTGATGAGGTCTTTATGTTCACTAGGGCTGGAACAATCCATCAGATTAATCGTTATAAACTGATTAGTGAAATAATCAACTAATTTATCCATCCATCCATATTTACTGGAGTGAACATACTCTACATGTCATTAGCATAAATATCAATTCACTTTGAGGAGTAATTACACCAACATTGTGTAAACGTGTCAACATTTTGCATTCAAGATGACAAAAAAGTTAAGAATCACCATCTCTGTCTGTATGCTGCCAGTTTATCTCCAAACTCTTGTTACTTACATAACGAGAAAGATTTTGTTTTATCCTGACACAAGAACTATGATAAACTTATCAAACCATTTGAAAAAAACAAACAAACATTAGTTAATTAGTTAGTTAATCTATATTTTTATAGAGTTGCACCATGGGTAAAAAAAAAAAAAAAAATTTTTAACATATACCATACTGAACAGGTTAGTAATGTTGGGGGATTAACAAGCACATACATGATAACAAAGAATGATCCTAACATGTTAATATGCTCCATCCAGAAGTCCTCCTCATTCTGTACAAAATCTTCTGATGAAAACTTGTTATTCATTTTTTAAATCAAACAAATAATGAAAAGATTAATTGATTAGCAGAAATAATTGTTAGCTGCAGCCATAATATTAACCTGGATTATAATCCATCATCTAATACTTTGGTATAAAGTTATATAATGTTGCTTTAGAAAAACCTCTAGTTTATTCATAATCTATCATAAGGCAGTAAGACCTCCTTGTAATGATAGAAGGTAGCTTTATTGAAAAAATTAAACAATTTTCAAATTCTGAATGGATTCTCTTATCGGTTTCTAAAGATCAACGTATGTAACCGACAATTGATTTAAATTGTGTAAACTAAAATTTGTCAGCTGATATTTCCTGCTCCTGCATTCATATTTACTACAGTTACTTCATTAACATGCTGTTGAAATATATAATACTAGTATAATTTTGTTACCCAACTACACGGTCATGCAATTCAGTCAATAGTTCAAAAAACAAAAACAAATTGAGATCAGATTGAAGAGAAATAAAAAATTGAATGAAATTTGAGTTAATTTCCAGTCATAATCTTGATTAATAGCACCCTGACTTTCTCTGGGATCCTAATAGTTTTTTTTTTTTTTTTACTTTAGCTTCTTTCCTTTTTCTTGTGAACTGCGTTTTGCATAAAAACAGCATCCAAGTGTTGCATCATTACAAAGTGGAAACATTGGAGATGCATTCTCCTTTAGCAGACCATCTACTTAGTATACTTCTATACTAAGCACCTTGTTGGAGCCTTATTAATCTTATGCTTGCATTGCACAAATAAACGTCAGAATGTGACTGTATACAGCACGCATATGGATAACTGAACTGCAAAGAGTATTTGTTGGTGATTTAAGCTAAATGTTTTAATTCTCTCGGGACTGTTGCATATTTGGTGACACTTGTAGCTTATTTTTATCATAAAATCTTTCAAACAGGTAAAAAAAAAATCTGTTTAGTTTGACATATTCTTATTTTCAACAGCTACTTAGATTACTTATAACCAGCAGTTTATTTGTTTTTATTTGACTTGTTTTGCAATTATAATGAGTACTATTTCCATCACATTTACCAACATTAATCTCATGTTTGTGCATTTAAAACTTTGTAGATTTTTGCATCTTTTATTAAAAAAATTGAAACAAAATGAGTTGTATGTGGTTCATCCCTTGGATAAAGAGACTTTTTAAGCTTTTTAAGGCTTTTAAACATTTTAATGTTGTTCAGAAGGTTTTCACTTGATAGCCTTATAAAAACATTGTTAAAAATGACATAGAAGAGAAATGGATCAATTTGAAGATTGAATGAATAAAAATAAAAAAAAAAGTATAAAAAAAAGCTCACTTGTGCAAGAAACCTGTAGACGTAGACAGGTTTGACCTGTCCAAAGCGATAAACCCTGAAGATACTCTGGATGTCATACGACGGGTTCCAGGAGGCGTCAAAGATGATAACCCTGTTGGCCGCTACCAGGTTGATGCCGAGAGATCCAGCTCGCGTTGATATGAGAAACAAACGACCCCTGAGTGAAGCAGAGAGATTTCAGTAAGGTGTCGATCTGTATTTATATGATTCTCAAAGATCCAGGAAGCACTGCACCTTGTGTTGCTGGTGTCATTAAAGTCCTCGGCCCACTTCTTCCTGGTAGGAGCGTTAGTGGAGCCGTCCAGGCGGTAATAGTCGATGTTTCTATACCATTTTCCTTCACCTTAAACAAACAGTTCAATTTAGTTTGCTTTTTTTAGCATTTTTCAAACAGATTCACAATAGCAGAGACACAGCCATGTTGGTTAGATGCAGTGTTTTGTCTCAAAGGCGGCCAACTTCCCCCTGAAAGCCTTAATAACCAACATTTTAGTATGTTTTCAATTAGGACACTCTGATCTTTTCATTACAAATTACAAACCCTTGAGCAAACATTTTTTTGCAGAATAAAAAGTGGAGCTCTAATCATTTTCAAAATGAAAGCAAAAACAGCTGGCGAGGTTTAATTAGAAACACGACCTCAGAACAACAGCGGCAACATGCATCTGTGGGGGTTCAGGGGTAAAAGGCATATCAATATGCAGCTGAGTACACGTTGCAATGCTTCAGCATCCTCTGAAGTTTGCTTTATTGTAAGTCTAACAGTAAATATTAAACTCTAAAAAGCAGAAATGTGATTAAACCTGCAACGGCTCATTATTAGAAATGTTGTTATGGAATTTCAGCAGCTTTAAAACCTCAACTATAAAAAGAGAAGCAACCAGCAGAAACACCAATAGTGCCTAAACCTCACCTTTGTATGGAGAGGGTTTCTCAGAATCCTCGCCTCTGCTGGAAAGTTCTAGAAAATCCTCTATCAGGTCAAGAGAGATGAGAGACTGACTGAACACCAACCTGAGGACAAAAAACGGACTTTGGTGTAAACCTTAAACATCTAGAACTGCGGCTCTGAATACAGATGTGCACAAACATCCTTACACTTTATCTTCTACTTCCTCAGCCATGCGCAGAATTTCAAAGAGTAGCATCATCTTTCCTGAGTGCTCCAGGATTTCGGCGTCGGCCTCAGTGACAAACTCTTTGTACCAGTCGGCAGAGCAGGGACTCCCAGGCGTAGAGCCGCCCACCCGGGTTGCTGGAGTAGAAACACAGATCAATACTTGGGTTACTTCTTCCACATCAGATGTACAAGATCAGATCAGATGCACAACAAAAAAAATCTATTTAATAGCGACATTATATACATATAGGAAAGGAAGCACATTCCTAAAAAAAAAAAATGCATGTTTCAGGTTCAAACGAAAGAAAATGTCTCTTATGGCTTTACTGTAGCTTCACAATACCCATGAGTACAAAATGTCAGCCATAAACCAGCTGTAGTTCAAGAACTAGCCATTATTGTTTAATGCTGAGTCATCTGATCAGTTTGCTTTTTTTCCCCTCCTACAGCAGTTC